CAGTCTGCACTCTGTAATAATACAATCTCGATGCCACTAGCTCTACTCACTGGTCCTTTATTTGACTTAACGTACAGCTTTTGATGACGGACACAACCAAAGAGCAGCCTTTGGAGTATCACCTTGTCGCTGAAGAAACTCCAGACAGCATTCGCTCTGTCATGGCTAACGCGAGTCAAGACCGAACCGAAACCGTTAGCTCATAATCACCCTCGAGCTTAACGCTTTGCATGTCTGATTTGGCAACTAAAGTCATTAACACTGGACACGTAGGTAGCTGTGTGTCCCATTACCACCGGACTTACAGACAGCTTCTTCCATCAGATCAAAATCAAGATTTCCCTGTAAAGTCCGTTCTCAGTGGATGGTGCAAACTGGAACGGGATTGACTTCCTAACAGTTTGTGATGTCACAAATGATGCTTGTGTGCCCCGCCCCTTAAAAATCAGATTCCCACTTTCAGCAGATGAATGTGAAAACATCCTTCTAATGTCAAGCTCTGCACAGTGAAGATCAAACAGCACACTGTTATGACTGGAGGGGGACTTTAACGTCTATGTATGTAGCTCTTTCTCTGGGAAATATGCCCATAAACCAGATAACAAAAGATATCCTGCTTTATGTTGAACTTGTTTTGTAGTACAGGACTCTTGACCTGAAGCTGCACTCGGTAACTTTTCTAAAAATAACTGGATTCTTGCAAATCCCATTAGGAGCTGGTGAAAGTTTCAGCAGATATGACAAAAAGTAATTTTTTTTATAAAAGTTATCTACTGCAGCTTTAATTGTAATTGTATCTGGGGATACAATACAAATAACAAATGTAATAAACAAAAATATGTAATAAAGATACAGAAAATGAAATTCAAGGTTCTAGCCTCTCCACATCAACATACTGTGCAAGGCGTAGGGTGGGGAATAGATGTACCATTAGCTGGCTTATGCTCTCTAAACATAAATGTGGAAAAATGCTCATGCAATAATCACAATGTAATGCAAATGGTGAATTTGATCAAATAATGTATGAAAAATACAATGTAAAACACACATGGGAGTAGAATAGCGAAGCAAAGTGACCACAGGCTCAGCAGTGCACCGTGCCTTATGGTCTCCAGTGCTAATGCATGGCTTTATGGTCTAGCAGTAACAGCTATTTAACCAGTAAGAACAGTATGTGCCAGCTTGTAGTTTCATGCACACATGTCCACTGGGGCTGCACAATATTGTAAAAGCATCTTATTGTAATTATTTTGACAGATACTGCAATGTGATTGTTAGTTAGTGTGGGAATGATGAAAGAAAACAAACAATTGAAAGCATGATGCTGTGAATGTTTTTTTTTTTTTTTTTCAGGATCTGTACCAAACAACCATTCTCTTAAATCTGGAGAACAAGATTTGTTGGCCAGGGCATCTCTCCACACATTTGACCTTTTATCAAAAAACTGCAGCTTCTGTGCTTTGGATATTGCACTTGACTATATTGTGATTTCAGTAATATTACTTGCACAGCCCTAATGTCCATAGAAACCAGGTGGAAGTCCATCACTGTGCTGCAAGGGGTGAATGAGGAATAGTTCAAGTCCAAACAGAAAGAGGTTTTTATACATGCATGATATGTTTATGTGCAAATTACAGGTTTCTAACTTGCATGTATGCATTTCATTACTCTCCACAGACGGCCAGCTGCTGTTGGTGATTAAAGAAGAACCTCTCTCTGAGCAGGAGGAGAACCCCAGTCTGGACCAGGAGAATCTACCAGGGCTGCTACATATTAAACAGGAACAGGAGGAACTCTGGACCATTCAGGAGGGAGAGCAGCTTCGAGGGCTGGAGGAGGCTGATGTAACCAAGTTCACATTCACTCCTGTCCCTGTAAAGAGTGAAGAAGATGATGAAGAGAACCCTCTGTCCTCACAGCTTCATCCAATCCAAAGTGATGAGAACGGAGATGCAGAGCATTTGCATTTAAAAACAGAAGCTGATGGAGAGGACTGTGGAGGATCCGTACTAGCCAGGGACTTTAATCCAGATGCTCATTTACTAGCAGCGACTCATGATAAAACGTCAAACTCCTCTGAACCTGAGACCGACGACAGTGACAGTAGTTTCGATTGGGAGGAGATCAGGAAATCTGATTCGAAGTTAAACCGTCTGCAAAACGATGAAGTACCTGATAACTCCTCTGAATGTGCGCAGCAACAGACAGGAGTGAAACCATTTAGTTGCTCAATCTGCAGTAGCAAATACTCCAGAAAGTACTCCTTAACGGCTCATATGAGACTTCACTCAGAAGGGAAACGTTTCAGCTGCTCAGTGTGTAAGAAAACCTTTCAACAGAGCGGAAATCTGGTGGAGCACATGAGAGTCCACACGGGAGAGAAACCCTTCAGTTGTCCGTTCTGCGACAGAAGATTCGCTCACAGCTCGGGTTTGACTTCACACATAAGAGTTCACACGGGAGAAAAACCTTTCACATGCTCAGTTTGTAAAGCTAGTTTCAGTTTCAGCAGCAATTTGTCCGCACACATGAGAATGCATACTGCAGATAAACCATTTGGATGTACGGTTTGTGAGAAGACATTTTCACGAAAGGAATACCTGACACAACACTTGACTGTCCACATGGAGGAGAAACCATTTAGTTGCTCAGTTTGCGGTAAAGGATTTCGAGACGGGGGAACTCTGAAACGACACTTGCCTGTCCACACGGGGGAGAAACCATTTAATTGTTCGGTTTGTAGCAAAGGGTTTGCAGATAAAAGAAATCTGACACGACATTTGAAAATCCACAACAGGGAGAAGTGTGTTGGTGAGAGCAGCGGGAGTAAATGAAGAGATGCTTATTAAGCCAGTTTCTTCCAGCAGGACTGAATGCTGAGGGCAACACTTGGCTCAACACTGATCAGTTCAGTGTTACACACTCAAAAACTCCTTTGTTTCATTTACATGATCATTTAAATGTTGTTTTCATTTTCTGGGAACTGTCTTTTTGGTACTACGTGTGTTCACTGATTTAAAATTGTCTAAAGTATTGTATTGTAAAGTATTGTATGTCACCTATACAGCCCTATGATCCATATTTTATTTTATTTTATAAAATATGTATTGACATACCTCCCAATAAGTTTATTTTAAATGTAATGGGCTCCTCTGGTTTTGAATTAATCTTGCATCATGTGTAAAACATGAACAACTGATTCTGAACCTGCTCATACTGTATTTGTGTCATTTGGATCGAATAACATGTCTAGAAACTTTGATTTCACACAGTCCTACAGTTGATGTGTTAATTTACCCATTTGCCTCTAAAGCATAGGTTCAGACCTTTCAATCCTGTTTCCCTACAGTACTCAGATGTCATTTGAGAGAGTTGTTGGTTGCTGTAATCATTCCTTAACTAGGTCTCTTCGTGCTGGGGCTTATGTGTGTTTACTGCCGTTGTTTTGGTGACTGCAACCCCTTCACCCCGGCTCAGCAAAAGCCCCCTTAAAGTTTAACTAAGATTTATCTGTGACAAAACATACATAAAAGGTGTGAGAGTGGGATTTTGAATCTAAGCTCTGCAGATACAATACAATACAAAAGGTTACCATTCGATAGATTGCCATATATTCCTTCAACCTTATTGAAATTTTTAAATCTTTCAGGACTGCTGTATAGTGTGTCACACAGCTGTAATCACACCACTGCATGCACACAGTCTGAGTTAAAAGAAGTTCTTATGGAATCAAAGCGGGCATCTCATTTGTATTTATAGCCTGTACAAAAGGTGCTATTAGTAGATAGTGGGAATAAGTGTTGAATCTTGCATCAGAAACCTTCCAGTGAATAGTGAATATATTGATTAGTTTCAGGTTGTTTTTTAATGTTTCTTTACTCAGGTGTTATTTTTCTTGATTGTAGCACAGCTACCCCATTCAATATATTGCCAGGATATTGACTTTTTTTTTTTTTTTTTTAATATTCTCTAGCTTAAGCAAGGCTTCATTTGTTTTAAGAACATTTTTTAAATAGGTCTTTTTAGGCATACATGGGTAAATACAATGTTTTAATGATTCATGGTTCTCTTGATACATTATTGATCTCCTTAACTTTATGTAAACCATTTGATTTTACTAAGAAAAAAGTTGATGATGATGATCTGCAGCATTAAATGTAAATGATTGAACTGTAAATGATCATTGTGCATAAAGTAAAGACAAATACTTTAAATGTACTCCACACTGAGTCTAAAGGAAGCAGGTTCTGGCTTGTTTTAAGTGTTTCTAATTATGAGAAAAACAGTCGTAGTCTACCATGAAGATCTTGTTAATAAGCACATCTAATTGTATCTATAGTGACATAATAAATGGATGGATGAAGAAACTCATAAGTTATCATATTGTGTGATTATGCTAACATTCTGATGTTCAGCAACTCAGGTTGTTAAGGAACTGTTTGGAGGTTTTGTGGATTTGACGATTCAAATAAAACAATTCCTCAGAACCAATGGTGTAGTAGAACTCTTTTTAACAGAAAATGTACCTGTCCTCAAAGATCCTTGGTTAGAAATGTTTAAAAATGTCCAAATGATTATTGGATCAACTGATAGAGCAACAAGTTGTAATAAATAGCATGTTTAAATGATGTAACAAACCAGGCCAGCCTCTCTTCATTGGGATCTAGATCAACTATCAGAGATGGCCCTTTTGTGTATGTATGGCCGGAGGTGTGACAGTCTTTCCAGCAGATGTTGAACCTGCTCTCATTCAGCCGCAAGAGAATTATTAGGGCTTGACAGTGATGCTGGCTGATCAAGTCTGGTTCACAGTTGGTGTTGCAGTTCATCCCAAAGGTCTTGCATGGGGTTCAGGTCAGGGCTCTGTGCAGACCACTCAAGTTCTTCCAAACCAAACTTGGAAAAAAACCTTTCTTTATGGACAACGGCGTCCACAAACCTTTAGTCACACACTCTATCAATCAGCAGCAGTCCCGAAAAGAGAAATACAACAAAGACACTCACAGTAACATTATGCCTTTATTGTAACAAAACCACAAATCAGAACACATGACGGAAGGCACGAGTCAACAGCACAATTTAATGATCATAGCTTCTATCTTTAAAGAGCTGGAAATGGAAGACGTTTACAGTGTAAATGAGAAATATTTTCAATCATTTTGAAAGAAGTTCACTGATTCACTGTGGTCCTACACTGTTCTCCAGAGAACACAGAGACACCGAGGAACCAGTTAACATGAGCCCAAACCCGGGATAAAGAGGTTCAGTGAATGTGGTGTTGAAGGTGTAGAGGTGGGTCAGTGTGTCAGAGTTGACGCTGTAGAAGGACACCGTGCCAGCAGGACAGTCTACATACACTGCTACTCTCTTAGAGTCAGAGGAGGAAGATAAGAATTCCACTCTGTTATAGTCACAGACACGGTAACTACATTCATCAGAGCAGCTGAGACTCCAGTACTGATCATTCTCTCCAAACTCAAAGTCTTCACTGTCTCTCATTTCCACTCCTGTGGAAGTCACTGATACATTGACTTCTCCTGTCCACTCGACCTCCCAGTAACAGTGACCAGTCAAAACATTTGTACACAGTATCTGAAAACATGTATGCCCCAAATCGTCTGGATCAAAATATACCATTTCGTCCTGCACACATGTCACCTTCCTGTTGTTGTCAGACAGCGTGAGGTTGTTGACTGTGTTTGTGCCGAATGTGAGTTCACAGGAATCTGATGGAGAGAACCAGGCACAATACAGCTGCAGTTATTAATCTATCCTTCATTTTTTAATGATGACATCATAGATCATCGTCATAAATAATGAGTGATGTCACAGTTTGAAGATGGTTGCATGTGTGCTAATTCGTTTTCACGAATCAAATTGAGAACACACTTACACTTCCTCAGACCAGGTCTCAAATATCGGACTCCACCAGGCTCCAACCTGAAAGAAGCAGGGGTTATTAATTAATTAATTAATTAATGGGCCGTCCACACCAAGAAGAATAACTATAATAAAAAACTTATGTAAGCAACCACACTGATGAATGATGACGTTATGTAAATAGGTTTATTTATTTTCTTTTGATGGAGCTAGGCTAGCAGTTTCCCTTATATGTCCTGGAGCTATCACTGTACAGAGATGAAAATGGTAGGCGGGCAAAAAAGTATATTTCTCAAACTGAAAGTTCCTTCAACATGCAGATATCTGTCCAAACTACATACATTATTATAACAGGCAATTACTATCCTTGTTCCTGGAGATGTTTTCCTTGGAGACCCCCTACACAAAGATTACTTTTTAAAGTTCAACAGTGTTCTGAGCAAAGGCTTCCTACATGTGTGATTGTTCATGTAACTTCCGTATCCAACATTAAACAAATGAAAAATGTTTCCAGGTCTTCCTCCTCTATCAGTCAGATGGCTGCAGCAGACTTCTTCATACCTGAGAGTGTCCAGTCTCCAGTGCGGATCCTCCAGTAGAGCAGACAACAGTTTCACTCCAGAGTCTCCTGGATGATTGTAACTCAGATCCAGCTCTCGTAGATGGGAGGGGTTGGCACTCAGAGCAGAGGCCAGAAAAGCACAGCCTTCCTCTGTGATCAGACAGCCGGACAGCCTGAAAACACACAACACACAGGCTTATCATATCTGTGGGCAATGCTCTGTCTGTCAAATACAAGAAGAAACTGTCTCCAAATAAATAAATAAGACACAATAAAACATTAAAATGAGAAAAGAAGCTTTTGTTAAAAAAGGGAGACCAAACAGATTAATCTAGTCTTTTTAATTATTATTAAATTACATTTTATTTGTAAAGACCCAAATCATGACAGAAATATAAAAGTTAAGAAATATATTTTATATATTTTAAATCATTGTGGTATTTCACAATTAAACCACAAGAGCAAAAAGTAGAAAATTATGAAAAGTCGAAAAGTAATTGAGTCTAGAATGACAAATCACATTGGCATGGCCGATGGTTTAATGGGTAAATTAATCCTAACCTGAGAGTTTCCAGTGTACATTGTGGACTTTTCAGTTCAGCAGACAGCAGCTTGGCTCCTGAATCCTGTAGGCTGTTGTTACTTAGGTCCAGCTCTCTCAGACTAGAGGACTGGGAGCTGAGAACTGAGGACAGAGCCTCAAGACTTCTCTCTGAGAGGCCACACAAACTCAGTCTGGAAAGGAAATATGATAAATAGCATTTTCTCTTAAAATGTTGTGTCTGGACTTGGTGATACAATATATATAATCTATCCTCAGTGCATGTTAACATCCTTGCTGTTTTACTCTACATATGTTGGTGAAATGGCTGAATCAGTAAAAAAAAACCACATGAAATGATAAGTTGACCAGAGATAAAGTTCTCAGTCTCAGCCAGAATTCATATTTATTGGTGCACAATGTAAATCTGAACTAGAAAAACAACACTGGAAAATCCAATTAATTTCTTGGCTGTCTTTCAAATCCTGACCGAAGGGAGAGGCTGTTTTATTAAATTGAGACAAACTGACTTAATCTGACCTGAGAGTTTCCAATTTACAGTGTGGACTTTCCAGTCCAGGAGCCAACAGATTCACTCCTGAATCCTGTAGGGGGTTGTTACTCAGGTCCAACTCTTTCAGCCTAGTGGACTTGGAGCTGAGAACTGAGGACATAGATTCACAGCTTTTCTCTGAGAGGTCACACATACTCAGCCTGTTGAGACCACAGAAAGGAAACAAGTAACCAAGATTAAACAGACAGTTAGTAATCAGGCTTACATGATATCAAATAAATTAAGTTCTTAATCTTGTAGTTGGGCTGTACAATATGTAAATCAGACAAAACAAAAATTCAAAGATTTTCCAAACTTTGAAATTTAAAATCCTGACGAGAGGGACTGTTTCATTTAAATTAAGTTTTACATGTAGAAAAATGATTTAAATCTTCAAGTAACCTGATCTGACCTGAGAGTCTCCAGTGTACAGTGTGGACTCTCCAGTCCAGAAGAGAGCAGCTTCACTCCTAAATCCTGCAGATCGTTGTTACTCAGGTCGAGCTCTCTCAGATTGGAGGACTGGGAGCTGAGAACTGAGGACAGAGCTTCACAGCTTCTCTTAAAGAGATGACAGCCACTCAGTCTGAAGACACAAAAGTGAGGAAACAATTTACATGTTATACATTTTTTTCCTCCTGTTGAAAGATAGTAATGTATTTATTGATTATCCCACTTACAGAGCTTTTTTGGCAGCTTTGACCACTGGCAGCAGCCTTAGAAGAGCCTCTTCTGAAGCAGAATATTTATTCAGGACAAACATGTCCAGATCTTTTCCTGATGACAGTAAGATGAAGACCAGTGCTGACCACTGAGCAGGAGACAGACTTTCTGCCAAAAGATGTCCTGAACTCATGGACTGTTGGATCTGCTCCACCAGAGAGCAATCAACCAGTTCATTAAGACAGTGAAACAGATTGATGATTTTCTCTACAGAGAAAGTCTCTTCAATTTTGTTCTTGATGTATTGAACTATTACCCGATTTGTATTTGAGTCACTTCCTGTCAGTGTCAGAAGACCTCGTAGGAGAGTCTGATTGGTCTGCAGCGAAAGCCCCAGAAGGAATCGAAGGAACAAGTCCAGGTGTCCATTTTCACTCTGTAAGGCCTTGTCCACGGCACTCTGGTAGAACTGTGTCTCTGCAGATTCATCTTTTCTTGTTTTTGACTTTTTTCTGACAGCAGGCTTTTTTTCTGACAGCAGATTTACACCAGAGTTGATGAATGTCTGGTGGACATTAAGAGCAGCCAGAAACTCCTGAACAGTCAAATGGACAAAGCAGAACACCTTGTCCTGGTACAGCCCTCTCTCCTCTTTAAAAAACTGTGTGAACACTCCTGAGCACACTGAGGCTGTGGTGATATCAATGCCACACTCTGTCAGGTCTGATTCATAGAAGATCAGGTGGCCTTTCTGCAGCTGCTCAAAAGCCAGTTTTCCCAGAGACTCAATCATCTTCTTGTTCTCTGAATTCCAGTGTTGATCCGTCTCAGCTCTTCCGTCATACTTAATGATCTTCAGTTTGGACTGAACCACCAGGAAGTGGATGTACATCTCAGTCAGGGTCGTGGGCAGCTCTCCTCCCTCACTGGTCTTCAACACATCCTCCAGTACGGACGCAGTGATCCAGCAGAAGACCGGGATGTGGCACATGATGTGGATGCTTTGTGATGACTTGATGTGGGAGATGATTCTGCTGGCTTGCTCCTCCTCTCTGAATCTTTTCCTGAAGTACTCTTCCTTCTGTGGGTCAGTGAACCCTCTGACCTCTGTCACCATGTCAACAAACCCAGGTGGGATCTGACTGGCTGCTGCAGGTCGTGTGGTAATCCAGAGACGAGCAGAGGGAAGTAGATTTCCTCTGATGAGGTTTGTCAGCAGCACATCCACTGAGGTGGACTTTGTAGCATCAGTCAGGATTTTCGTGTTGTGGAAGTCCAGAGGAAGTCGACACTCATCCAGACCGTCAAAGATGAACACAACCTGGAACTCTTCAAACCTACAGATTCCTGCTTCTTTGGTTTCTGTAAAGAAGTAATGAACAAGTTCCACCAAACTGAACTTCTTCTCTTTCAGCAAATTCAATTCTCTGAAAGAGAATGGAAATGTGAATTGTATGTCCTTGTTGGCTTTGTCTTCAGCCCAGTCAAGAGTGAACTTCTGTGTTAAGACTGTTTTCCCAATGCCAGCCACTCCCTTTGTCATCACTGTTCTGATTGGTTCATCTCTTCCAGGAGAAGGGTTAAAAATGTATTCATGTCTCATTGTTGTTTCTGGTCTGACTGATTTCCTGGATGCTCTTTGAATCCGTCTGACCTCATGTTCATCATTGACCTCTCCTGTTCCACCCTCTGAGATGTACAGCTCTGTGTAGATCTGATTGAGATGGGCTGGGTCTCCTGCTTTTGCAATCCCCTCAAACACACACTGGAACTTCTTCTTGAGGTTAGATTTGAGTTTACGCTTCCACACTGCAGCAGGACTTCCTGGATGAATACACAACAAAGAAGATCAGTGAGTGAGATATGAAGTAATCCAGCATGAACAGGATTAAATTCACTCCATAACGACCTGAGTAAATATAATCTTCTTGTCAACAAGACATCTTTGTCAAGAAACAGTCCTTAAGGACTCACAAAGGAAGACAAAAGAAATGTTCACTGCCAACCAATGATGAACCTAATGCGGAATTTGTCAGGACCACTTTTATGAGGCCCATATCCCACATTACAGGATGCTACCTGACTGTAAAAAATGACTGTTTCACAGGAAACATATTAGGGGTGGAAGTAACAAAAATTAACTGCTAAAAATGGAGGTCATGAAAATGTACGTGAATTGAAAAATAGAGAGGTTAAAATGGATGTGAAATTTAAAATGCAGTCAGGGTTCAAATTTTACTTTTTTCCTCAGTGTCCTAATTTCTACTTTCAACTGTCCTAGATTTAACAGCCTTTGTCCCACATTGAAGCTCTCTGCTTTATTCTACATAATGATTATAGTTTAATAACTTGTAAGTTGGAAACAATCTATGATTGATTTTTGTGAGTCTAAGTGTATGTGTGGCATAGCATAGAACTCAGAGCAACCTCACATTTATAGAATTTGAATGCCTAACAATTATGATAATATATATTCCATGACAAATAAATGGAATCCTTTCATTTGTAATAATACATTTATCTTCTGCACCCCAGAAATGTCCCAAACACTGTGTCTTTGTGTCCCAGGTGCTATTTTTGTCCCTAGCACTGAATGGAGTGATAAATTATCAACTGATTTGATTTATTTGAAGCCAATTTGACTAAACCCGTATATGATGAAAACAGACCTTTGTTTCTTAATTTCCCCATCTTACATTCATGATTCTCAACACAAAATTGTCATTTTATTTAAAACTGTGTTGTTGTTAATCAGCTATGCTGTAAGCTGTGTTAGTTTTTAGTGTCTAACATTCATCATTAACAATGGCCTTGTTAACAGCAAGCAATTTGTCTTATTTCTGCCCAAAATTTCAATCAAATGCTGTTTCACTGCAGCCCAGCCAAGTGGGGTTGAGAGAAAGATCTCTTATTATTCAGGCTAAACTAAATATTTAGAAATTCCTTAAAAATCAGTCTTACTCCTCTGCAGATAGTCAGCTAGCTCCTCCTGCTTCATTTTCCTAAGGAAGTGCATTGTGATCTTCAGAAATGCCTCTCTGCTTCTCCTCCTCTGCTCTTCCTCATCACCATCCAACACCTCCTCATCCTCCCTCTGACTTTCTGAGTCTTCTGGGTGATCTGAACTCAGAACCTTCTGGATCTTCTTCAGTTCGTTCTTCACAAAAGTCACAATGTTCTCCTCCAGCAGCTGGAACAGAATATTATATAAATGACTAAAAACTAAAATCACAGAACCAAACACGAGCTCCATGTTGAACAGACTGACAATCCACTGGTCTAAAAACTACATCATGGAGATGAGTGTGAATAGAATAGATGTAAAAGTAGTTGTTGTACATGTACAGACCATGAATACAGAGTCCAAGTGTGTTTGATGGTTCTGGGCAGACTGACCACTGGGAACCTCTGAGTTCTCCCAGTCGACTCTGTGGAGGAATCATAAAGAATTAGCTCACATTATATCTTTCACATGGAGATAAACGCAAGGTAAAAGTCCTTTGAGCTAAAGTATACATTAAATCAGATGGTTTCTCCTGACATTAAAGTGCTGTTTGTACTACTGATTCCACTGTGAATCAACAACACAGATGTTTAAGCTTGACAACAAAAAATGTCCTTTTTACATAATTTCTGTTGGAGGACTTCTACTTTAGTTTTAGTGTTTAGTTTAAGTTTCTCCTTTAATAAGCTGTTACTGCTCTTATGGGGCTCAAATGTTTTGTTGCTGGTATCAGAAAGTAACTTGATGTTGACTTACTCTGTCATTGGTGAAGCTTGTCCTTTGAAAAACAGTGGCGTCTCCATGGACCAGTCACTCTTTAAGGACACACAGCTTGGTTCCGGGTCAGGGTCAGATTTATATAAGTCCAGGTCCAAACTGGTCCTGTTGGACAGAGAGAAAGACCACCATAGAAAGAAATTCACTTTTTAATGTTCAGGCAAAGATGCTGTTGACGAAACTAGTAGGTATCAGGCAGAAAAAGGATCAACAGACCAAAGTTCAATTTAAAAAAGTATGATGCGCGCCCGGTTAGCTCAGTCGGTAGAGCTGGCAACCCATGTACAGAGTTGCTGCAGCGGCCCCCGTTCAAATCTGACCTCTGGCCCTTTGCTGCGTGTCATCCCCTCTCTCTCTGTCCCTCTTTCCTGTCAATCTTCAGCTGTCTCTATCAAATAAAGGCATAAAGGCCAAAAAAATAACTTGAAAAAAAAAAAAGTATGAAGCACTAACTGCCTCAAGTGGGAATTTAATTGAACTGAATTGAATTGAATTGCATTGGAATGAGGCGGCTGTGGCTCAGAGGAAGAGCGAGTCGCCCACTAATCGGGGGGTTGTTGGTTCGATACCTGGCTCTTCCCGCCATGTGTCAAAATATCCTTGGGCAAAATTCTGAATGCCGAATTGCTCCCGATGTTGTGAAAGGGTGAATGTGGCACGTAGTGTAAAAGTGCTTTAAGTGGTCAGAAGACTAGAAAGGCGCTGTACAGGTCCATTTACCAATTAAATTATTCATAGAGTAAATGGCATCGATAGCTTTAGAATCCCACAGCTGATCAACACAGAGTTTCGTATTTGCATCTGTTCTGTTGGAGGACATTGCTCTGCTGCTCTTCAGGAGGAATTTGATCTTTCAAATGTTTTATAATGTTGCTGGTATTATAAAGTGACTTGATGTTGACTTACTCCTTCATTGGTGAAGCTTGTCCTTTGAAAAACAGTGGAGTCTCCATGGACCAGTCACTCTTGCAGGACACACAGCTGGGTTCAGGGTCCGATTTATAGTCCAGGCCCAAGACCGCCCTGGTAGACAGAAAGGAAAACCCCCAAAGAGGGAAATTCACTTTTTAATCTTCAGCTGCAGAAGCTTCTGAAGAAACTAACAGCTACCAAGCAGAAAAGGATTAACAGAGCATATTTTGAAGAAGCAGCAGGAGCTGAAACTCTCCACACTGATTGATTTCTGCTCTCTTCTTACCCTCCTCCATCATTAATTGTCTTTGTGGGAAAATGAGAACACTGTAAGGACTCCAGGACTAATCTAATCTAACATATTTCTCCATTCTCTAAGACTCCATTTATAGATGGTGTGTATTATATGGAAATATTGTAAATAAACTTGTGTTTATATGAGAAAAGTTGTTTGGACTGTGAACAAGACGATAAACTTTGCTTGGAAATGATTTTCCAAAATGCCAACAAAGTTTGTTCACGATAACGGTAAAACGCATTGATTTCAACCTGAGAACCCGCTGTCTTACCTCTGAGCTTTGGTCTGGCTGCCATGTTCCCCACACAGAGTGGTTTTAGAAGGAGAGACTCCCTCCTCTCTGTCCTCAGACTGATTCATGCTGCAGAACTCATATCCGTGTCACACACACTTTCATCTGGAGAGGAAACACACGTCATTCATCTGAACATCAACTGAAACGCCTGTTTCATATCAGCTGCTCCTCCTCCTGTCAGCTGAATGCAGTCAGACAGTCGAGGAAGCGGCCATCAGCTGCTAGACTCCACTAGAGGGAGTCATGAAGCTGCATCCCAGCACACACAAGCTACATGGAGGACCATTTACATTCAGTGACACACTGGAGGACCGATATGGACTAATCTGACTGATCTGACAGAATCTCTCCTTTACAGTGTCCCTGGAGAAATGTTTAAACCAATAACTAGGACAATAACATTCAATTATATGCCTATCACTGACACAGAAAAAGAAGAATACATTAAAAACTCAATTTATAAAAAAAGTTTTGTTTAAAAACTTGGTCTAAAAATTCCTAATAATTACCTACAAAGTTTCCTGTAAATTATTGCCATAAGTTACAGGTTCAAATAGAGACCGTGTTCAATAGACCTTATTCACAGGAGCCACAATACTAACCATACTACTATGGTTCGGTTCCATTTGTGCACAATAGCAGCAACCTGTCTCTGTCTGACCTGAACAGAATGTCCTTCAAGATGGCACACTGAGATCGATTTCTCAAATGGGGGTACATGTAGCCGTAGGGGTACTTTGGAGTACTGCAGGGGTATGTGAGATATTAATTTAAAAAATATCAGTCATGCATAATTACCAAAATTATGATACTATAATAAGTTCAATACAGAATGCAAATGATGAAATAAAATAAACAAATATGTAATAATTCTTTGCAATTGCCATAGTGCCCATTTTCATTAACATATCTTTAGGTCAAGGGATCCCTTAAAAACTTTACCAAAATTTAGCCCAATGCATGGGTACCAATGGAAGCATCAGGTCATCAGTTTCACAATACCAGTATCTTCACTCTAGCTTTAAAGCAGAGCCTGCTATAGCCTCTGACAGACCACCACAGGTCCCCCATCTGGACTCGCCCCTGTCATGAATTCAATGACTCGAAACATTTCAAATGAAGCATTTAAGTGTTTTTCAGGTCTGAGGTTGTTTTTTAATACATCAGAGGCTGGTGGCTCAACACTGTACATCTTCATATAGACTTTTCTTTGTACCAGAAATGTTTTGCTGATCAGGGGGTACTTGGCTGAAACCATAGGTCAAAGGGGGTAGATTATTGAAAAAAGTACCACTGCTTTACTGACTGCTAGCTTCTACTTCTTTACTGCAGGTCATTCAGCAGGTAACTACCTAAGCGCCCCACTAGTTACTTTACATCACACATATAGGCCTATTTATCCTTTAGTACGTGGGTAGGCAACCTGTGGCACATGCGGCTCTTTTGCCCCTCTCCTGTGACTCCTTGTGGCTTTGACAAACATTCATGTGATTATTTCTTTGAACATTTTCATTGTTGTAGGGTTAAAGTGATTCTTACATTCTCTGATTGTAAAAATGTGTAGCCATTACACACCAAATACTTTTTTTTTTGTCAACTAAAATGTGCTACTACTCGTCTTGAGTCTCCCTAACTAGGTTAGCTATGGTTTCAAATGCAAAAAAAACCCCCAAAGATCTCAGAGGAAAACTGAGAATTAAATTGTGTGTGGACAGATTTGTTTGCTTTCACCACCAATGGTGCTGAAAAGAGCCAGTCCTGACCTCCGTGCAGCCCTAGGGGCCTTCCTATCTGACCCATGATCCATGTAAACCATTTGCCTTTGGCACACAGAGAGCACACAGAGAGCAGCGGCTCGTCTCCTCCTCTTCCACGGGCTCATTCAGCCAGGAAAGCTGCCTCCACTCATCAACAAGTGGTGCTGCACATTAACAAAGACTAACTGTTCAACTGCTGAGCATCAACTAACTCTGCTTCCGCTCTAACCGAGCCGTTTACACTCGCAAATACAACATGGAGCTGTGAGCTGTTGACTCTTACTGAAGTCTTATCAACAGAGCTGCAGATGGTCTTTACCGCAGCGAGATAACAGCAGTTAGTGCTGATAGGATGAGCAAACAGTCAGTGGTGTAAATCAGTAAAAGATGTCAGTTATATTACCTTCAAATGGAGAAAAGAAGCTGCGCCACGGGATCCCAGAAAGTGAAAGTCAGAACAGGAAACAGGTTGAGTGTGTGTTGTTCACTCATTGGAGGAAATATTTATTACATCATTGATTTGTTCTTGTAGCCTGCACAATAGTCAGTGTAAGATTTCATAATATGTGTTTAATCACAGATACAAAAGGAATGAGATTAAGTTTAGTGGAAATATGGGCCGATACCTGCTGTGTGAACACAGAGTGATAATAACTTTATAATACATTTAATAGCATCAGAAAACATGATCTTACTCTGATTGCCCTAGCAAGGACCACGGCACAACAATATTAGATATAAAGGTTTTAATGGAAAAGAACAGGTTTTGATGTTAAGGATAAATGAATTGAATGTAAAAGAGGAAAATAGAAGGTGCAAGAAGTTGTGATCCCTCCCTTGGTCTGGGAGGATGTGGTGAAGGTTGGGCTGAGGGAGACTCAGTGTGGGTCAGTGTGTCGGTCTACCAGCTGGGAGGTGTGTAATCTGTAATACAATAATTTCAGATGTTTATTTAGATAAGATTTCAGCCCAAATGTATTTCCTGGTCTTTTTACACCTTTATTTGATAGGGACAGCTGAAGATAGACAGGAAATGGCGGAGAGGTGGAAGACGTGCAGCAAAGCACCACAGGCTGGAATCAAACCCAGGCCGCTGCAGTAAGGAGCCTTAGTACATAGAGCCCCGAGTGCCCCTTGACTAAAATTTTAACCTTGAAGGTGAACAATACTTCACCTCTATGCCACCCCTACTATTAGTCTGCTTTTATCTCTGTGCTTATGCATTTTATATATTTAAGTGTGTGTGCAAAAAAGTTATTACAACTTTAACATGCACTGTCCTGAGGAGGCCTCATCCACTCTAGAGTTCATCCAAAGGCCATGATAACCTCTAAGTGCTCCTTGCTTGTGGGCTTTGGCAGAATCCAGTTTTGAAGACAATCTTCACATTTTGCTGGGTTATGTTATTTACAGTATTTCCTAAATAATGTTTTGCGGGGTGTGCATGAGGGCTGTCCATAACAAAATAAGTGCCGAGTCAACTAATAGTTTTACAGAAAAAAGTATCTGCTATGAATGTTGTGTTTTTCCTGGTACCTCTGTTTTTATCCCCTGATTTGAAGACCTCTCTTTCTCAATCCAGAGGGCTTTTTGGGAAGGCCAATATGGCCAAAATTGCCACTAAATCCTACACACTGGACCTTTAGGCAAAAGAAATACCATGGGTGTACAAAGAGTGTTGACAAAAAGCTGTACATGATCCTATGTTCATGTTTTGATATAAATCTTTATTAACAAGGGTATATTGGTGATACAATTTATGTATTTTTCATTGTATCTTATTGTCTAAATACAACTTTGAAGATATTGTCTTCAAATGTACAGCATTAATGTACTGTAAATTTACAATAAAGATGATAAATTATATTTGTGTATGTGTTTAAATCTACAGAGAAATATGGGCCGATGGGTTGCTTTAAAAATACTGTTTATATGTACAATTACAGTATTTTAATTAACACATGCTGTAAATTTACAGGAATTTATTAGCTACTGAGTTGCTGTAATAATACAGTTAAACATGTGAAATAACAAGTAATTACTGTGATTAAGTTACAGCAAATTCTGTAATTAAGCAATAAAATAGTGTAGTTTTACAATACTGTTGGGCCTGGGTTACTGCGATAACACAATGCATTACTGTAATATTACTGTAAATTATTGTGAATTTACAGTAATGCTCCTGCTTGCTCTGTCTGCTTCCTGTTGGGGTCCACTGGCTCAGTGTTTATATATTCCCCTCCTCTTCATCCTCCTCTTCATAATTTTTCCTGACTGTCACTGAAACACAAGTATTAGAAGAAATTTGACCTAAATCTTAACTGAAATCTTTAGAAATCACATAATTCTTTGCACACTAAAATAATAACAACATTTAAATAAGTGTGTCTTTAAAATATTAAAAACAAACAACAACTAGTCTTATAATGGAATGTCATGTGAGTTCTGGTGAGCACAGACATTGAGTTTGGACGACGCCTCCAGGCTGCTTTGATCGTCGCCTTCTCCTGAGGACCAAACAGACCACCACCAAGACCAGCAGGAGCAGCAGCAGGATCCCAGCAGCTACTGAGGAGACCAGCAGCCACAAAGGAACTAGGAAAGAGAAATACTTAACAGTTTAGCCTTAAAAGTATCCATAGTTTCATCATGCTTTGGCTGGTGTAAAGAGGAAGTGCCATGGAGTAGATGAATGAGCTGTATCATGGAAAGTCCTGAACCTCAAGAGCTGAATCAAAATGGCAGAGCCCAAGACTGCGTAAGTGTAAAAGGGAAAAGTGTCTCACTTGCTATACACTAAACAATTCTGGCTCAGCTGTAAAGGGCGGGAGGCATGCAAAGGGTGCAGAATGTAAATGATTTCATCCATAAACAATGTCAGTAAATGTTAAATATCGTGAAATGCGTTGCTTGGAAGGAGTAAGCCACTAGTTTTCTGTTCTTTTTTAAGCTAAAGTTTTCTTTAGGGACTAAGCAAGCCTTAGTCCAGAGTGTAACATTTAGAAGGTTCTATTAGGGGAAATGGAATATACTACATTACCAAATACCACTAAATCCCTCCCACTGGACCTTTAACTATCTACAGTATGTTGTTGCTGTTGGGTGTTAAGGGCCATGTGATGGTAAGTGTCAGGTATGGAGGACAATCAGCTTGTACAGGGGAGGTGGAATCAGTTCTGTAGCCTACATTAGTTACATACACAAATGCCATCTGATGTATCAGTTATTGTTCTAGCATCCAATAGAAGTACTGTCCAAATGCTGTGACCCATTTTGTAAGATATATCTAGATAATATGTTAATGGCCATGTATACTGCATGTTACCAGAGGCATTTTATTTGATGACCATCAGAATTCACAATATTGGGGATGTCATTCATTAGGCAAACTGAAATAAAAGACTGTATGGGTTTCATGCATGTATGGCAGGCAGTGAGGATTTGCGAGCTTTCATGAATCCTGTATCTACACCCTTAGCTTCTGAGTAATTTACTGACGCTCTCAATTATTAGCGACACCTAAGGAATTTTATTTGTTTTTTAACCCAGACTCTTTAGTTATTGTCATGACACATCATGGTCCACCCGATTCCTACATACAGTAAGAAATTAAAGCTCTGTAAACCTCTTGTGAGGACATCAAAGCAGTGGACCAGTGAAGCTGCAGAGGATCTTTGGGCATGTTTTGACTATACTGACTGGACGAGTACACAGAGGCTGTGACATCATACATCAGCTTCTGTGAGGACTGCTGTGTACCATCACGCACCAGGGTGAGTTATAACAATGACAAACCCTGGTTTACAGCCAAACTCAGACAGTTACGGTTGCAGAAGGAACACGCGTTCAGGAGTGGGGACACGGACAGGTTTAAGGAGTCAAAGTACAAGTTTAGCAAGGTGGTGAGAGAAGCTAAACGACAGCTGGACTAGACTCGGTCTCTCCATTCATCCTGAAGCACTGTGCTAATCAGCTGTCTCCAGTGTTCACTGACATCTTCAACACCTCACTGGAGACATGTCATGTGCCAGCCTGCTTCAAAGCCTCAACCATCATCCCCATCTCCAAAAGACCAAGGACCACAGGACTCAATGACTACAGACCTGTAGCCCTGACCTCTGTGGTCATGAAGTCTTTTGAGCACATTGTGCGGTCAAACCTAAAAGCCATAACGGACCCACTCCTGGACCCCATGCAGTCCACCTACAGAGCCAACAGGTCTGTAGACAATGCGGTAAACTTGGGCTGCGCTTCATCCTTCATATGCCAGGATCCTGTTTGTGGACTTTCAACACCATCATCCCAGCTCTGCTATAGGACAAGCTTATCGAGCTCATTTTGCCTGACTCCACCTGCAGGTGGATCACAGACTTCCTGTCTGACAGGAAGCAGCACGCGAAGTTGGGGAAACATGTCTCTGACTCCCGGACCATCAGCACCGAATCCACCCAGGGCGGCATTCTTTATCCTCGGCTCTTCTCCCTGTAGACGAACAGCTGCATCTCCAGCAAACCATTTTTACAACAAGAGCCCATTCCTAAATTATCAAAAAGGTCACTTGTTGGTGCACAATAACCATTTGAGGGTTTTCTAGTCTTCAGTGGCTATGGTTAAAGTGTGATGCTCTGGTGGTATCAAAAGACACTGTGGCAGACATTAATACACTATTGGTAGGAGACAGGACACGCACCCTAGCAAAGTCAGATGCTTCATACTTATTTATCCACCACAACAAGGACCTCCATCCTTATTTACCTCACATCACACACCTTCTTCCTCTCCTCCTCAACACTACTACCCTCACTAACCAACAGCACCCTCTAATGGCAGGGTGCGTAACCAGGCCTTCGAATGCAACTGCAGTGAAACATAATCTGAACTCAACAGACCTGTTGCTCTTGAAGGACTGAATTCATTACATAATGATTATCAGTGAATTCTTTCAAATGTGACAGTTTCCTGTGTTGTGTCTTATTTTATTTCATAATTAAATTTTCTTACCAGCAACAGAGAGTCTGACAGAGGCACTCAGAGGCGAGAAGAAGTCTTGACTTGAAACCTGTGTCTGATACTGACACTGGTACGATCCCATGTCAACAAAGTCCACTTTATTGATTCTGAAGGTAGCAGAGTGATGTGACGTTTGCTCCTCTCTTACTGAACCTGAGGGCTGGTTTAGAATGAATGTTCCACTTAAACGTTGTTGAGTGGGAGGTGAGATCAAGCAATTGATATCAACATCCTGACCCCAGGTGACCTTACCAGCAGGATTCATGGAGATGCTGGGCTTTGGAAGGTTTGCTGAAAAAGAAACACAATAATAAATGTTAAATGCATCTTAGGCTTATTTTTTTACGTGTTAAATATGTGAGCTTGAGAGGTGCTGGTAGAAGCCTGGGTAGCTTTGACCCCCTTTTCCAGTCTTTGTGCTAAGCTAGGCTAGCCAAATGCTTCCAGACTCTGTTCTTAACAGACACAAGATAGACACCACTCTCATCATCATCATCTGTTTTCAGGCTTTTTATGCATATGCTGTATGAAAAGTTTGACTAATCTCTGAGATTTTACCAAAAGCCTCCAGACAGTATCGGCACCGATCAGGGAACAGAACCCTTGACTACCTGAGAAATTCTTTGACACTTTTACACTTTTAAAAGCCCCTTAAGTTACTTTTTTTTTTTTTTTTTTTTTTTTTTTTAAGTGCCTCACGACATTTTGATACCAAATTGCTGATATTTAAAATTAAAAGGGAGATTTAGATGCACACTGATGAGATGATAGCAGCTTGAAAAATAATACCTTTTCCACTAACCTCACAATAGACCAGAACAAAACCACACAGATGGCAATAGTTATAAGTAGAAGAGAAAAGTGATCAAAAATATTTCTCACGTAAACAGACGACACCAGCGCCCTCACTGTGGGTACAGTCGTGTGTCCGAAATCCTCCGTGCCGACACTGAGTTAAAGATCTTTCGTTTCCAAAACAATTGACTTTATTAAGCCAAGTTTGGCCGGATCCTTTGCCAGAGGACATATTTTGAGCTGCACGCTGTGCTGCCCCACAACCCAACTCTCTGCACACAACCTTAGCATCATTTAAGTCCCAGTTGTCCTCACAGACTGTTCCCCAAGCACTGTTGTAATAGATTTCAACTCTTCCAGAGCACAGATTAGACCCAGATAATCTGATTGGTATGCCTACAGACAGAACACACAGAACATACATTAAGTTTCTAAAATTTTCAGCAATTTCATCAGAAATATTGTGTAGAAGTTATTCAGAAAGGAACAAATGACTGTACTCTCAACAAAAGAAATAGACTTGATTCTCTTTAGACTGTGGTTGCATTTGTGGTAGACCAAACAACATATTCCCTTATTGAGTGTGCTTACCCATTGTTTTCTAGTGGCAACTGACACATAGCATAAACCACAATGACTGGATGATAGAAATGTTAAACAGTAGAACAAATGTTTACATGAATTTGATAGTCTGTAAATGATCCAAATGTCGTCTTACCTGAACAGACCACACCAGCGTCCTCATTGTGTCCACAGTTGTTTATCCCAAATCCTCCATGCTGACACTCACTTAGAGACCCTTCATTTCCTGAACAGTGCACATTATCGAGCCAGATTTGTCCAGTTCCTTCACTAATGTGACTGGGATCCAGCGCCGTACCACAACCCAACTCTTTGCACAACACCTTAGCATCAATTAAGTCCCAGCTGTCATCACAGATTGTTCCCCAGGTATCATTGTAATAGATTTCAACTCTTCCAGAGCACCGAGTAGACCCAGGCCCAGTTAATCGAATCTGCCTGTCTATGAAGAAATGCAGTAACATACAGTGTTTCAATATTTACAGTATAAATGAAGAACTGCAAGTATTTAACCCAGGAGAATGCACTAACCTGCAGCAGGTGGAGATAAGGTCAAGAGAAGAGAGACTACAGGGGAGAAAAAATGCCATGTCTCATTATATAAATGAATATGTACATATGAAATATATGTATACACACATATATACATACAAATATACATATACTGATCAGCCATAACATTCTAAGCAGGTGAAGTGAATAACACTAATTATCTGGTTTTATGGCACCTGTCAGTGGGTGGGATATATTAGGCAGCAAGTGAAGATTTTGTCCTCAAAGTTTATGTCTTAGAAGCAGAAAAATGGGCAGCGTGAGGATTTGAGCGACTTGACAAGGGCCACATTGTGATGACCCAGACGACTGGGTCAGAACATCTGCAAACCTGCAGCTCTTGTGGGGTGTTCCTGGTCTGCAGTGGTCAGTATCAAAAGCTGTCCAAGGAAGGAAAAGCATTGAATCAGAGACAGAGACATGGGTGGCCAAGGCTCAGAGAGAAGAGAAGGCTGGCCTGTGTGGTCCGATCCAACAGACGAGCTACTGTAGCTCAAACTGCTAAAACAGTTAATGCTGGTTCTGATAGAAAGGGGTCAGAACACACAGTGCATACACAGTTTGTTGGTATGGGGCTGCAGAACATTCTGACAACCAGGGTGCTCAGATGGTCACAATGTTATGGCTGATCGGTGTATATATATATATATATATATATATATATATATATATATATATATATAAGAAAATACTTCTCACCTATGATCAAATAGCATAAGTTTCTCTGTTGTGTGCTCCCCATGGCTGAAGAAATAATTCTCTGTATGAGTGTTCAGTGGCAGAGAAGTGGATAGAAAGCTCTGGTAGAAAGCAGCAGAACAAGAAACATTTAAAGCAAATATTAAATATTCTATTTGTCAAGTGCACTTATGTCACCTCTGTGCTCACAAAAATATTTCAGATTTGTAATTTCTTGCTTTCAGTAACATTTACTTTTAAAACATGACTGTAGTTTCTTTGCAAAGAAAACTCAGAGTAAAAGTATGCTAAATGGCGGATGATAATTGCATCAATTTTAAGAGATCTCTTGAAAAGCAAATTGTAGCCATAGCATTTAACACCCCAACATCAATGTTTGCCAAATCCTTCTAAATCTATAAAGTCTTCCACATATTGCATTAAAGGTTGAAAATGTATGAATGAACATACTGCAACTAAAAAAAATAATAATAAATAAAAAAAATAACATGAAATGAAGAAGTGTGTGGTTCAATAGTATCAGTGGCCGGATCTAAACTTTACCCCACCCACAGACCTGCTAAACAGAGACAAACAACAGCAAGGTAAAAAAAAAGTTTGAAGCAGAAGTGGGTGGTAGGCATCGGTTCACTTATGTTTCCTTAAAAAGTGGGATGTTTGTTAAGGATGGTATCATTTATTTATTTTTTACTGAGTTTGGTTCTGGGGTTGGGTTTTTTACCTTGCATTATGTCAATTAATACATTTGGTACACTTTTAAGTTAAACAATCTCCCTCTCACTCGCTGTTCAGTGCCACTAGAATGCCATGTGTTCTATTGCAAGTGTTATTGCATTACGATGCAGGGACGTTTGCAGACTTTTTTGACTGTGGTGGCACGAGTGGGGCACTGACTTATGCAGGAGTGGCATGAAGTAAGTTTCCCGAAATTTCCAGTTTATATGATTCTATTTTCATTCAGATATCAAAGGAGGTCAAGGGAATCCTTTAAAAACAGCCATACCAGTTTTTCAATCTACAGAATTTAGCCTAACATTTGAGTGTTATTTAGCCCACTTCCCGACATGCTGGCATGACATGGTTGCTATCAACGATGCATTAGGTCATCTAGTTTCTTATGATGAGTGGAAGAGGTAAGGGTAATGTGGTGGCAATTGATTTTGGGGGTAGCCAGTGCCACCACAGGACCCCCATCTGGACACACAATTCAATGATGGACATTTGTGTTTTTCAGGTGGTAGGTTGTTGTTTAATACTGACTGGTGGCTCTACAGTGCATTTCAAAAGGGGGTAGCTTATTGAAAAAAGTACCACTGCTTTACTGACTGTTAGCGTCTACCTCTCTATTGCAGGTCATGCAGCAGGTAACTAACCTAAAAGCACCCCACAAGTTACTTTACATCATACATATAGGCTTAATTATCATTGTTTGGTGTTGTTTTGTGTTTCAGTTTTGTTTGTCCTCCCTTCCTATCCCCGATGGCAATCCCCCCCCCGCTCCCTATTGTTTAGTAGCTGTTAATCAAATCCGTATTTGCCTTAATGATGTTCATGTAAGACATAAGAAGTGAAAAATGTCAGTTACATTACCTTTAAATGGAGAAAAGGAAGTTGTGCCACGGGATCATAGAAAGTGAAAGACAAGAGCTTTTAACAAGAGACATATGTTGGGTGTGTATTATTCACTCATTGGAGGAGACATTTATGACATCATTTATTTGTTCTTGTAGCCTGCACAATAGTCAGTATAAGATTTCATAATATATCTTTAATCACAGATACAAAAGGAATGAGATTAAAGTCCGGATCAAAAGACAGTTTGTGTGTTTAGTGGAAATATGGGCCGATACCTGCTGTGTGAACACAGAGTGATAATAATTGATTATAATACATTTAAGTTGAATAGCATTAGAAAACATGATCTTACTCTGATTTAGTTGTGGATAGGATATCAACAGGAAATATCTCCTGCGAATGATTTATTATAATTATTACAGTTTTTCTCAATTGTTTACACACAAATACTGGTACTTGAGACACAATGACCAACATGTAACTCATGCACCAATCCCCTGAACCAATTCTGCTAAACTACAAGCACAATTCCTGCTTTACACTCAAATTGCAGTTCTAAAACACACTTTTTTCAAAACACTACACACAATTCTCTGCATTTGGCACAATTATCATGAAGAAAATCTGTTTTCACAAGGAACACACTGTCATTCAAAATTCTAAAGTTAATTGCCCTACTGTGCCCACTGACTCATCACATGGGCAAACACCTGTCACACAGTTTTACAATTAGCAATCAGAGCTTTAGCATAAAAGGGCAACAGGTGAGCTCTTCTGTTTTGGAGCAACGGATGCCAACATTGGAAACAGAGCCAGAGCCAGAGGAGTGAGAGTAAGAGGAGGAGGACGTAAGGACGAGGACGAGGAAGGCCAAGGACCGTACTCTCTGATGAGATCCGAGCCACTTTGGTTGACCATGTGGTGAAAGGTAAGTAAAGATGTCAAAATACTAGAGGTGAAATAAGAAAGAGATTTTGGTTTAGTTTGAACCTGGAGGGTGCACTGACACACATTACTATTGTCACTGCTCATTGTCCCCCATCGTTGTCGTCGTCATCTTCTTCATGTTCATCATCATCAGTCACTACTATTAGTGTAGGTACATTGTACATTTAGCTAATGGACGGAGGAAGCACAAAAAAGGAACAGAGAAACACAGGCAGGGACACATAAAATCTCATCTCTCAGTCTCAGTGTATCAAAATGCAGGATTCCGACCTCGACTGTGCTCTGCCAAGAAGATGCAACCACCCAGCACACGATATGATAAACCCAAAGCTCTCATCAAAGTCCGTCAGATGGATGATTCACCTCCTCCATATAACTCTGACCTCATCTCCATCTCCAGTTCCTCTTATTACCCAAAAATGGGTAATAATTGGGCCAAAGTCTCAGCGGGATATCTAGTGGGGGATGTGAGACTGGACAATGCAAACTGGGTTCATGCTGATAATGCACCTTACAGAGGATGCATTACAGACCTCTGCAGGCACATTGAGAGATCACTTGGGCAAGTTGAGTCTCGTTGAGGCACACGACATGATACTTCTCAGAGAGGACCAGAAGAAGAAAGGAGAAATAAAAGAGAAAGATCTGCATATGGCTACGTTAACTATGTTCCAAGGACGTGACAGAGGATGCGGACGTGGCTGTGGCAGAGGCGGATTCGGAAGTGGCAGAGGTAGTCGACGTGTGACTGATCCACATGTTTGTTTCTACTGTGGTGAAAAGGGACATTGGGCCAACTTATAAGGCTGACTGACTGGAGAGGGAGTAATCAGCACTTTTGATTTTGACCACACTGGGGCAGGAAGAGAGACAACCCTACATATCAGACGGGTGATTGCACCACACACACACACACACCCACACACACACACACACACACTGATTAGTGATGCCATAGCATAGAAAAATTTAATTGACACAAACATACGGCAAATTCACAACTGCCTGACATTCTTTGTTTTTTTTCTACACCTCGAAAAATGAGTGGAAGATATCAAAGTCTGTAGGGGTGTCAGGAAAAACTCCGTTATCATGTTTGGCAAAATTAAAACATTTTTTGTTGTCAAATTGTTGCCTAACGAATCTGATTAAATACTGCTGATGTAGACAAAGTACACACACACACACACTCACTTCTCACACAGACTACATGACATCACAAGACGTGCACAATGCACACATACACTAAGGGAAAGATGCGTTTGAGAAACGCCGGTTCAGAGAAAGTTGTCAGAGAGAAAAGCTTAAATGTTAAGTTGAATGTTTCGGGACAGACACAGATGTGCTGTTCCAGAAGAATTTATGATTTTTTGCGATATTCCTCAGTCAGTGGTTCCTGATTCTCTATTTGACATTCCTGAATTATATCCACAAGTGTCACTTGCCAAAAGAAAAATGAGAAATCAATATTGGACCCTTGTGTTCAGTATAAGCCTGTTTTGAAGGTTTATCGACAGAAATACACCTTTGTTGTTCACACACTCAGATCTGTTCTGAAGGCAGACATGTGGGTTTAATTAAAGGGATGCAGCCAATTGTGATAACACCAGAATCTGACTTCAGACCATACCAACCACAATACCCCCTTAATAAGGAAGCTGTTAAAGGCATTACACCAGTCTCTAATGCTTTATCAGAGGCAGGTGTAATCGTTCCTTGTGACGATTCCCAATCTTCCCAGTAGATAAAATTAGGGAGGAAGGTCAATCAAACAAATGGTGTTTCGTGCAGGATTAGCAAAGCGTGAATAATGCCATACAGGAAAAATGTTCCTAACCCATATACCATTCTTTCTCAGCTGCCGCCTGAAAGCAATGGTTTTTAGTGGTTGATTTAGCAAATGCATTTCTATTGTCCCATCCATCCAGACAGCCAGTTTTGGTTTGCATTTTTCTTTAATAGCAAAACCTACACATTCGCACGTTTGTTTCAAGGTTTTTGTGAATCACCTACCATTTAAAATGATGCGCTAAAAGAAAGTTTGAGCTCACTAAAACTGTCACCAGGAAGTGCAGTGTGCAATAGGTTGATGATTTGTGCTCCAACTCAAGCTCAGTGTGAAAAAGAGGGTTGCACTATTGAAACATTTAGCTGAAAAAGGCCACAAGGCTAAAGGCTTGTCAAAATTGCAGTTTGTACAACAGCAAGTGAGATTTTTTGGAAATTAGATCACACCTGAGGGCAAATCCCTCTCCCCCGAAAAAGAGTAAAAGCAATTCAAGTTGTGTATTTTCAAGGAATGTGTTCTTATTGCAGAGCTGTGTTGCCACAATAACTGAAGTTTGCTACCCTAGACCAGAGTTACAAGAAACATCTCTGCAAAAGCCAGAGCTTGAACTGTTCGTGGATGAATCAGCATCATGCAACCCTGACACAGGAAAAAAACAAGTTGGATTTTCTGTGGTAACTGCACATGAAACACTCACTGCCATGGACCGCGGAACGCATCTGAACAAGGGGGGGCCATAATTTCAAGTCACGGGGTGGGGGGGCATATGCATTGAAACAGACAATATTACTAATGTATTAAATAATGTTGCGGAGCACTTTTTTTTATTCCGACACCACATAGTCACATCTACAGTACACGCATGATGAACACGCACACATGCTTGCTCAGATTAACCCCTCTGATCCCACTCTAACATTCACACACAACAGGCCAAGCCTATTTACACATAAACGCACAGATGAAACTATAGCAAACAACAAAGTACATCCAGTCCAGTCCACAACCAAAACTCATCTTGCTGCCTTGAATCTAAATCAACATTATAGTCATTATCATCACAAGTCAACACTCATATCAGACTGATGTGCAGAGCCGCACGCGCGTTTACCATGTAAACTAACAAAGGACAAAACAGTGAATATCTACACAGACAGTAGATATGGTTTTGAATTGTGTGTGATTTTGGCACTAGTTGGAAAAAGAAACTTTAACATCATCTGGTAAACCTATTGCATACCACACGATTGTGTCACAGTTGCTGGATGCTTTTCTCTTCCCAGAACGGGTTGCTGTGTGTAAATGTGAAGCTCATACTCCTGACCCTGAGCAAGTTTCGCAAGGGAACGCCGGAGCTGATGCAGCTGCTAAGGCCGCAGCATGACAGGAGTACCTCTTAATTCTTTATGCATGAGAACTCTGAAGCACTCTTTACTTCTACAGCTGATTTACAGGAGCTGCAGCACAGAGCTGATCACGCTGAGAAAACTTGAAACATTGTTGTTTTCTCTCATGGTTCTCTGATGGTAAAACATGTGTGCCAAAGTTTGTCACCTACAGATGGGTTTCATTAAACTAACACGAAGTGAGGGAAATAAATACTGTTTCGGTAATTGTTTGTTGTTTTCAAAGTGGGTTGAAGTTTTCCCTACAGCTAAGCAGGATACTAATGCTGCTGTTAGTGCTGCTCTTGAAGTCTTGAACTCTTGAAAAAGTTGGTGAATACTTTGGCATTGACATGAAACAGCACTGTGCTCATCACCCAGCCAGTGGGGGGGCTGTTGAGAGAAAATGGCATTCTAAAAGACAAATTGGCAAAGTGTGAAGAAATATAATAGAGGCACTGGACCTGTCAAAAGACAATTACCCATCATTGACCATGTGAGGATGAGATGCTTCACTATTGGAAAAACCTTTCCTCTGTCGTCTCTGCCATACGTAAACAGGTGAAAGAAGCACTACCAACTCCAGCTACAGGACCTCTCCATGACCTGCTACCTGGTGACTGGGTGGTGATAAAAGACTTGAGAAGAAAAGAGTTGGTACTCCAAGCAGTGGACGGGCTCATTCCAGGTGCTGTTAACAACACATACGGCAGTTAAGGTCGCTGAAAGAGCAACCTGGATTCACGGCAGCCACTGCAAACGTGTCCCAGAACCACAGGCTGCGTTGGGACAAAAGTAAGAGTGAGGGGTGAAAGAGTGCCCTCCCCCGACAGAGCGTGCCACGCTCCTACTAAGTGGCATGCCGAGTGAATCTCTGTGTTACTGCCAGGGGAACCAGCAATGGAAACTGAACGACAGCCGTAGCACACGTTGGCGTGTGGCCTGTGAGGTTCAGTGTGCAGTGTTTGTAGTAGTACTAATCGCCATTGTAGACAAGCAGCAGACACACGCAGGCGTAAATATCATTACAGAGCCCCACTCAGCTGACACCACCACACTACAGCCTACACGCAATGGACGTTCTGTGTTTGAAAATCCCTTTCATGAACCCAATGCCTGGCAAGATAACACCTGGCTATTGTAGGCTAATTACACCACACGACAACCCACTGATCGCTCCTGTTTACTTTTCAGTCTGCCTGCCCTGAGTTAATGGTAATGCCAATTCCACACACTTCAGAGACCTGTGCAGCCGACCCTCAGTACACTGTAAAGAATTATTACACATACAAATTTATCTGGGATCTCTATTTTACTAAGTAACTATCTGTCCGAATAAAAGTTATGTTCACATTTCTTCCCCATATTTGACTTTACTCGTCCACCCCGTATAATAACACCTCCTCAAAACTTTCACTTATCTCCCTCCTTAACTTTTATTGACTGCTTTGAGTCCTGATCAGGTGACAAAGATGTTGGGGTGGCTGACGTTTCCTGCAAGTATGTTTGTCAGCGCTCCTCTTTTTGAACAAGAAGAGCTGAAATTAGTTTAAAAAATTAGATAAAATTCTTATGGGTAAAGTAACCAAAAACTGCATGCAATGTAGACATTCTGATATGATAGCAAAATGTTCACCTTGGTGACGAACATGAAGGCTGCAGATTTCTGGTGGCTTTGCTGCAATAAAACTCTTCTTCCCTCTCTGCCTAAGAGCTGGAAGGCTAGATGTGTCCACGTTAAACTAATACAACAGATCACTTTATATCCAGGTGTTTTTGAAACTGACACTATCACTTAAGTTTGACGTTCTTTCTGAAGGCTCCCCAGCTTACATTGATGCTATTGGTATACCACGCGGTGTCCCTAATGAGGATAAAGCTCCAAATCAGATTGGGGGGCCAAAAGTTGAGACATTAAAAATAGTGAATGGATAAATTACATTTATTACAATTAGCAAGACTTAGTAAATTACACACATGATGCCCTCACAGCACTAGGTGAGCAACTAGATGACCCCACTCAAATGGTCTGGGAAGATCGCATGGCTATATATGTTGTTGGCTGAGAGAGGTGGTGTTTGTGTGATGTTTGTTTTCTCCTCTTGTACATACGTTCACGGCAGCAGTTTCTGACTGGATTCCACTGTTCTATGATCACAACATTCCTGATCAGGAAAACAAATCTAACCTTAAAATTGTAATGCAAATAATTATTATATCAGAGGACTGACTGACACAGGTTTTTGTTGAGATACATGAAATGTGGGATGTATTCTCATTGACTGGGGAAGCTTGAGTCTGACAGTGAAGGGTTCTTAATAATAAGCATAATTCTTTCAATCTGAAAGGGGCCAATGTAACGAGGAGAGAGTTTTCTATAGTCTGTCTTTAAGGGAATGTCTCGAGAGGAAAGCCAAACCTTCTGACCTGGTTTGTTGACAGGAGCAGGATTCCAGCGACGGTTAGCGATTTGAGGGTTGCGGTCTCCAGAGCGAAGCAGGGCTGAGTGGGCATCTCTCCAGATCTTCTGACAGCAACGAACATGAGCCTGGACAGAAGGAACTGCAATCTCCTCCTCCTGAACAGAGAGAAGAGGGGGCTGATAGCCCAATGAACACTGAAATGGGGACATACCGGTGGCTGTGCTGATGAGGGAGTTGTGGGAATATTCCACCCAGGCGAGTTGTGTGCTCCATGAAGATGGATTGTAAGCAGTGATGCAACAGAGGGCAGCTTCCAGGTCCTGATTTGCTCGTTCCGTTTGTCCATTGGTCTGGGGATGAAAACCAGAGGAAAGACTCACAAGGCCCCGAGGGCTGAACAGAAGGATTTCCAAACTTGAGAGATGAATTGATGGCCACGGTCAGAAACCGTGTCTGAAGGGATCCCATGCAGGTGGAACACATGATGCACTAGGTGGTCAGCAGTCTCACGACCTATGGAGAGTTAGCAACCACAAAATGGACAGCTTTGGAGAATCGATCCACAATAATTAAAATTACTGTGTTACCTTGTGAGGAAGAAAGGCCTGTGACAAAGTCCAGAGCTATATTGGTCCAGGGACGTCCTGGTATGGGCAACGGACGGAGCAAACCAGCTGGAGCCTGATGGGAGGCTTTTCCGCGGGCACACACAGTACAGGCAGAGATGTAAGCTCTGGTGTCTGTTTCCATGGTAGGCCACCAGAAGTGTTGCCTAAGGAGGGACAGGGTAGGGACTATGCCAGGATGGCAGGCAAACCTGAAGTGTGCCACCACATCGCCCCTATGACTGCGCCATTGAATTGCATTGACTACCAGCCGGTTATACAACCTGTCTCGTCCTGAAAGGGAGGCAATGAAAAAGTACACCAACAACTCTGTTGCTGCAGGTATCATCCCCCTCTTCCTCTCCTGTTGGTGCCGGGTTCTTCTTTGTATCCAAGAAAGACAAAACCCTTCGTCCATGCATTGATTACCAGGGTCTGAATAACATAACTGTCAAAAACAAGTACACTCTGCTACTTATAAGTTCAGCTTTTGAACCCCTTCACGGTGCCACGACTATGATGTTGGTAACAGGGAATTGTTGGCAGTTAAACTAGCCTTGGAGGAGTGGAGACACTGGCTAGAGGGAGCAGAACACCCATTCATCGTTTGGACCGACCATAAGAATTTGGCCAACAGCGAAGGGTATGATCCTGAGACACAGGGAAAAACAAAAGTAAGTTTGTAACACAAAACACTTGTCTTAAATACTCCAACTTGGCCTAAAAGGTTACTTCCAGGTTTGTAGATGCAACGATCTTTGTTATTACAGTGATCAAGTAATGATCAAGTAATGAGGGAAATGTAATTGGAAAATGATATGTTAGACTTTATTCTGTATTTTAAGGGCACTGTGTTTTCTGTGTGTTGCACTCAACTGTATTTCCTTTTTATTGCTTTGCTTTCCTGCTCACTGCTTTGAATGAAGAATGTCTTATCAGTAATACAACAAACTGTTTATCATCAGATCATAAACCAACGGGACCCCGTGCCTCTCATCCTCTCAGTCTGCACTCTTGCTGAATGAAGATTACTGATCCCTTGCAAGGTACTTATTAAAAAAGAGCATAAAGACAAAGGTTCCGTGTGTTTAGTGTTATTTTCAGATTCCCATCACAGTCATCAAATTAAACCTTTTTACAGCCATTTTTCAAAACTAATAGATTCAGAGGAAGATACCGTGACATGAAGTGTTTTTAAGTGATTAAAATACTTATTGTGGTGGTATGCACCTTTAAAGTTGTTTTGTGATCAGCAAATAAACACAAAGAAGAAGAAGAAGAAGCAGAAGCAGAAGAAGCGGAAGCTAACGTAGTAACTTTTCCATAATTTATCATGTGCGTTACCATAGGACACTGGTTCCCAACCTTTTTCCTTAAGAAGAACCCTTTTAAGTAAAGTGATGACCCCTGCTTAGGTGACATATTTTATGAATATTTCAGATTATATTCAAAACTGTATCATGAACCCAAATAGTGAACTCGGTAACTGCAAGAATTTGTGTAAAAGGAGTGATTTGGATGAATTTTGAACAGATTATTTCCTGTAAAGATATTTTTTTTTATAATTCTCTATCTGCATGTTTTTTATCATATTTTATAGGTGTTTTACAGTTTGTCTACAGACTTTGATCCAGAGTTACTGTTTTGCAATTGGTGAAATCTTCAAAGACAATGGGGAAAAGATGATGTGTGCACGTCTTTACACAAAAAGTTGTTCTAGTAATATTCTAGTAGTTTCAACTGTCATTTCTACTGAGAGCTTTCATTTCCCAGACATACACAGGACACGTACACAAAATATTTTTATTTACGGCCTGTGAAACTTGAAAATAATTTCATTCATACAAGAGAAAACCTTTTGCATGCTCAGTTTGTAAGTTGAGTTTGTGGTAGAACATTTGCTATGTTTGACATGAACACTTGACTGTCCACACAGGTGACAGACCATTGTAATGGAAAGTTATTATATTACCTTACATAAAGTGCCTTTTTTTAATGTGTGCTTCATACAATGTAACCTTTTCATGACCATGTTTATGCAGTAATATATATCCTGTGAGCTCTTTGATGTTTTATAGTTCTTTATAGTGTCTGTACCTCAGCTGACATTCCTTTTGTTTATTAAGAAATTTATCCTCCATGTTGAGGTCACAAGAGTCACAGATTTATGACTCTGGAGTCAAACCATGGCCACTGCAGCAAGGACTCAGCCTTGGTACATGGGGTGCCAGCTCTACCAGGTGAGCTATCAGAACACCCTGGCTTTTCTTACAGTTTTTTTTACCATATATGTTGTAGAAGTCCTGCCTTTGTTGGATTTGGCAAAACCCCCTCAGCTTGTATAAATTGAATGTCTGCGTAGACTTTTTTCAATTTTTCTTTTTTATTCTCCTGTATTCTATCTCAAAATGTTTTTTGACATAGGCTTTATATGTTTTAAAGTGTTTTAAATAAAAACTAGGTATATCATTCAGATCTACTGATCAGACAGAGATTGGAGGGTTACTTTAAAAATTGATTCCAATACAATTTTCAGTTACCTATTGAAAAATGTAAAAAGAAATGTAGTCAGTCACTAATAACAGCCTCATGAAACTTCCCAACCAGAGACCTTCAGAAGATGTATGGCTTTGCTGAGTATGAGTAGGAAAATAGTGTCACACACTCTGGCTCCATGTTTCTCTTTTATTTAACTGATTATTGAGCTGAATTTATTAAACATGTTTCATGTCTGTGTAACTGAGTTATAGGTATAGTCACAGGAGTGTGATTTTCAGGTGAAGTCTGTATGGTTTTTAAATTGTCCCGTCTTGGGTGTGGAAATTGCTAAAATATTAATGCCAGTCAAATTCTATCATTGTGTCAGTGAATGTAAATGGTCATCAATGTAGCTTGTGTGTGCTGGGATGCAGTTTCATGACTCTATCTAGTGGACTGATAGTGGAACTACAGCTGCTGATGGCTGGCTTCCTTGACTGACTGCATTTCAGATGACGCAGAAAATCACTGGAGGAGTTTCTAATATTTTTACAGCAGAAATTATGGAAAGGATGAATGATGTGCTTCCTCTTCAGTGTGTGTGAGCTGATGTGGATGTGAGTTTAGCAGCATGAACCAGTGTGAGGACAGAGAGGAGGGAGCCTCTTTCTTCAACGACCTGCCTTACCTGAAACAATGTTTTACCCCTATTCTTCTCCTCATGAAACAAACAAACATACAGCGACTCGCTTTGTAACATGGAAAGAGCTTTTTAATACATGGATGTCCCAAGCAACGTTACAGTATATACCTGCATGTTACCGTCCTAAAGTCCACTCCACAATGCCGTTGTTTTTTTTCTTTCTTCTCTAATCCTTGTGACAGCACCCGACGGGGTGGGCCGTGCTGGTTTAGGTCGAGCATCTCAAAGTCTGCTGCACTTTTAACCCAAAGCCCACACTTCCTTTTCCAGTAATACTGTATGTGTTTCAGCAAACAAACCACAAAAAAACAGTTGATTAAAAAAAAAAACTATAGGAAGTTGGAATGGCTGCTTGTGAAACAGACCACAAACCCCATACACCGTTTACAGTCAACAAAGAACCAGCCACAGGTATCCAAACCAACCTTTTATCAACCTACTATGTCCCCGTTTTTAACTTAAACACATTGGATAAATGATGGGAATTAAAGAAAAGTAAGGTGAACTGGTTTTCAAGATTTGGGAGACAGCCGGGAGGTGAGTAAGCTTTCTGAGTCCACAGGTTACCATTGTGGGGTCCCTCGCCAGCACTGGTCTCAGCTCCTGTGTGTGGTGAGCTCCGTCCTGGTACTTCAGTTTAGTTGGGGTTTTTTTTCGTTGTTGGATCCAGGACAGTAATAGAGGTAAGAGTGCATATAGTGGACAAAGGTGGGAAGCTGTGATTTCCCATTTTGTCTCGACTGGATTTTAGCCAGGATCCTTGGAGCTCCTATCCCAGCTGTCTTCCTCTCCTCCTAGAGTGCCAGCACTCGCTGTGGTGCACTCGACGGCCAATAATAATACATTTCATTTTGGATATTATTCATTTGTCATGAGTAATATGTGTTTCAGCAAAAAAGCCACAAAAAAACAGTTGATTAAAACGAAAACTATAGGAAGTTTGAAGGAGCTAATGCAGCCGTTGCCACAGCAAGTTTCACTGCCCACCTTTAGCAACAACAGCTAGGAGACAGTCCTCAGTCTCTATTGACTGAAGCATTTAGAGACTGACTTGTGCGTCTAGGCAGCCAGACCAAAGCTCAGAGGTCAGATGAGAATCTGTGACTCTTCTCAGTGTCAGAGCTCAGCACTCAGATCACCCCGCCATCATTATTCACTCTCACAGCGGTGTGTGTGTTGTGTTGAAGGCCAGAGCAGCAGCAGCCCACGCCCAACTCTGCTAGACCTGGAACTGGCTGTGTGTCTCTAAAGAGTGACTGCTGCATGGAGCCACCGCTGTTTTTCAAAGGACATCAAGTAACTTTATAAGACCAGCAATATTACAGAACATTTGAAAGAATAAA